TCTGTAAGGTACACATCCTCTCTGCCTTTGCCTCTGCTGCTCTTTGTAGCGCAATGTGAAAATAAGAGATGCGCAACACAATGTGTGTGGCATAGCTGTAACGTATACAATGGATTTTGTATCGTTAGCATTCTTCTTTTCAAGAGTATTCCACGATCGTATATATCTGTAGCTTGTTCTAATTTCGGGGAAATACTGTCGTTGATGTTCTAGCTGCGCATTTTCCACTAACGAACATTGTTTGGAGTGGTACAAACGATTACACAAAGTGACCTACCCGCGGAAGAATGTAGAGGATATATTTGCGTTCGCCTATTATGCATGGTCCGTAGAAGAGGGGAAAGATTATCCTAGGCTCGGGAAAGATAATGGTTCTTATATTACCACTTTTAATTCGGAGGTAAGAACAGAGCTTTATTCCTTAACGATTCCTTAATTGTGATCGCGCGAAGATTCCCGCCGCGAGTGTCACGTTGTGATTCTCTTCCAGGTCGAGCGATTAAAGTTCAATTTACACGGTACATGGCGCATAAGTCAAATAAATAAGGATTACCGGATGTGTCCATCCTATCCGCCACAGCTTTTGGTTCCTGCATGCATTTCCGATGAAACCCTCGAGACTGTTGCCAAATTTAGAAGTTCCAGGCGAATTCCGGCCGTTGTATGGAGGTACGATGCGTTTCTTCTGCGAGATACGGCACATATTCGCCTATTCGACTCGTCTCAACAATCGTTGTAACGTTTGTACTCCTTCCAAGGCATGTGAACAACGGCGCGGTGATAGCTCGCAGTAGCCAGCCGGAGGTTGGTTGGCTCGGCTGGAGAAGTTCCGAAGATGAAGATCTTCTAAAGGCTCTCTCAGACGCGTGTAACTATGATAAGGGCGAATGCACGATGATAGATTCTCCCATCATATACTCCGATGCCGGTGATGATACGATTACGCCAAATCCACCTAAGGTAAGGATTTTACGTAAAATCTGAAATTAGAATCCAAAATGTCTCCGTGATTCCCAATCGAAAGAAAAAGGAAGTCGGAAGTGTCTCTACGTGTTTATCTTTGTTTCTATTTAAATATATCTAATTTAATTGTAATCATATTTCTAATTTAAATATATGAAGTGTATTCAATCTTTACAAATGTTGCGACATTTGTAAAGCGAACGATTAATCATAAATACGCGACTTTCGTTTCGCAGAAAGTCTTAATCGTCGACGCTAGATCGTACACGACAGCCGTAGCGAATCGGGCGCGCGGCGGCGGTTGCGAATGCCCCGAGTATTATCCAAGTTGTGACATACAATTTATGAATTTGCCGAACATTCACTCGATACGGAAGAGCTTTCACGCGCTGAGGCAGCTCTGTGCGTCGGACGCGGACCAGCCAAAGTGAGTGTTCTCGGATTACCCGGCTCGTTCTCGCACAACGAGCTCGACGGTTCTCGTTTGAAGCTACAGTTCTCTGATCAACTGTCTCTCGACTTTCTCGTAGTTGGCTGAGTTTGCTAGAAGGAACGCGATGGTTACAACATATGTCGGGCTTGCTACGGGCAGCAGTCACCGTGGCGTCCGCGATAGAGAGGGATGGTCGACCGGTATTAGTGCATTGCAGCGACGGCTGGGACAGAACACCGCAGATCGTAGCGCTGGCACAAATATTGCTCGACCCGTATTATCGTACTATGGAGGTACGTATTCTTGACGATAGGTAAAAGTACTCGAGTGTCTCTTCCCTTATGCTGATGCCCGTAACGTTCTTCTGGCTGTTTAGGGATTCCAAGTTCTATGCGAGAGAGAGTGGTTAGACTTCGGACACAAGTTTGCGGACCGATGTGGCCAGACTATTGGCTGCGACGACCCCAACGAGCGTTGCCCAGTATTCCTTCAGTGGCTCGACTGCGTCCACCAGTTAATTCTGCAGTTTCAGTGTAGTTTTCAAATGTCCGCTGCGTATCTCGTGAGTACAAACTGGAACTCTCTGGACGTGGATCCCATCGGATCGCGTTTATCGCCGGTCGCGTTGTTACTCTCGTTGCCACTGTGTGTCTCAGGTAAAACTGGCGCAGCACACGTACTCACAGCTATTCGGCACATTCCTGTGCAACACCAGGCAGGAGAGGCGGCAATTGAAAATACGCGAACGTACGTTCTCCGTCTGGCGTTTCCTCAACTCCACTTCGTTCGTGAATCACTTGTACTCACCGTTGAAGAATCAAGTGAGTCCGCCCGCGCGGCTTCGCCGTGATTCACGACTTCAAACGACGCTAAGCGCCTCCTGTTATCTACATGTTCTTTCTCTCGCTTCATCCAGGTATTGTGGCCAAGTTGCAACGTGCGCGACCTCGTCTTATGGTCCGAGGTGTATTTAGGCTCAATGGAATCCTCGCTCAGTGTCAAAGACGACAAACAGAGGGTGACGATGATAGACATCGAAGGCGGCGACAGCGAAGAGCCGCAGGGGCAAATGACGAAGACGAGGTCATACGGCGACCTCATGCACGCACCCGACCACGCGGCTTATCTGCACCGAAGGCTTAGCGATCCAAGTATTTCCATGGAGAAGTATGTAATCGACGTGGACCACCAGCGGACGCGGCGACAAGTCCCTGCGCGTGACGTACAGTAGGTAAAAAAAGTATTTGCACAATCCACCTCTTCTTTTGTTTCTTTCTCTCTTTCTTACTTTCTCTCTGAAATAATTATACACCAAGAATGCGAGATAGAATATTGTTCCCTAATGTGCGTGCTTCTATCTCTCGGATACTGTTTTCATTTGTATATTGACGCAATTTGAATAAAGTATTCTTTCCAAAATCCCGAGGAAGGCGAGGTGTGCAAATACTTCTTTTATCCGCTGCGTGTGTGTATGTACGTGTATGCATGTATGTCGTGTGTGTGTGTGTGTGTGTCTGTGTGTGTGTGTGCGCGCGCGCGCGTGCGCGCGTACGCGCGCGCGCAACCTGACACGATCGTTTAATTTCACAAGTCTCTCCTTCTTTCTTTCGCAGAAAATTCGATTCTCTGACGCTTGAGACTGAAACGGATCAGAAGGATGCAAAGAGCGTAGACGTGGATAATAAGAATGAAGCCGCGAGCGAAAACCTATCGGAGACTGATATTAACTTAACGAAATGCAACGCGAATCAAACATCCAGCGATTCGCCCGCCAATCCGTCGGTAGACAGCTCCACCGACACGCTGATACCCAATAACGACTCGGTCGTGCCCGCGACGAATGACGAGAAGGAAGTGTGAGTATACACTTTTCATTTCGTCAACATAGAGATGGTGAGAGAAAGAGGAACTTTCTCGTAAGATTCGACGAAAATCCGCAGGTCACAGGCGAATTTGTCGCGGGACATCGTGTCGCCGTGGATCGAAACCGGCACCACGGCGGGACGTGGCGCTGCCTGCTCGTCGTGCATTCGCAATCACAACGAGGGTAGTGACGTGAGTGACACCAGCGCCCCACTAATATCAAGAACTCCCAGTAGCATATGTCCAGCTTCTCCGACCCATCAGGACGTCATACTAGATAATCCTGACTGGCTGGACGACGTTGATGGTCTTCCCGTCATATGTTGCGACGTCCAAATGCGAATACAACAGATTATCGTAGAGCATAAGGTACTTGAAAACGCACTTATTAGCACTTCGACGTACCTTCCTATGGGGTATCCGTCAACGTGCTACATACATTGATTATATATACACTGGCCGAATCATGAGTAATTGAAGAAACCACTCCAATTGCTCTTTTCAGTTAAAGGAGGAAGCTTTGAGGAAGGAATTACACACGACGAGGTTGGCGCTGTTGAAACAAGTATGCAATCACAATCACAATGTAGATACCGATCGCATCGACGACATCGTGAGTAGAGTTCCTCGGCTGATAAATCTCCCCTGTTCAGCGACCTTACGCCCCTGGCGTTACGATGAAAGATTCACGTGACTTGCTTGTACAGGGCTCGTTACCGGACTCCGTAGGAAGCGTCGGTGAACACGGTGAGTCCTTGCCGTCGGACATGTCGTGGGAAGCGGTGGACGAGCTGGCTCCGGCGCCTACCCTCTGGGTGCCCGATCACGCTGTGACTCAGTGCATGGGATGCAACACGAAATTCTGGCTCGGTAGACGTAAGCATCACTGCAGGTATGCATTTCGCGCAAAGCGGATAGACGCTAGATTTGCTAAGGATCGCGGAAATACACGCTAACATAAAGGCAAAGAGGGAAAGCCCCGTGAGAGATCGAAAGAGATGAAGGGGACGAACCGTTCGTATCGCACACAGATGCTGTGGTAAGATCTTCTGCGCCGATTGCTCCGAGAACTTCATCCCGCTGCCTAGCGAGCAGCTTTACAATCCCGTGAGAGTATGCAGCGACTGTTTCTCGCGTGTGCAACCCCCCCACAACGCGAGCTCCTGCCAATGCAACGCCCGTCAACATCAAAGCAAGACGGAGAATGAAAACGAGGTGACACCTCCGACGGCGGCGATCAACGGCGGTGAGACAACGCTACAACCGTCTCCGTTGCAGACGTGCCTGAGAATGAAAAACCTGCCCACGACGAAGGACACTTGCTGCGACAACCTGCTGCAGGCGTCGCATCAGAAAGCGCAACCGTCCGTCACAGCGGCCACGGCGAACTGAGAAACTTGGTCCTCGCGACGAAGATACGAGCGAGAGAGAAAACCGAGGGGAGGAGGCCCGTTAGGGATGTAGTCCCCGCTTTTGCCGATCGATTGCCGTGAGCGTCGTCTAACTAACGCGCGACGCTCTCGTCGCCGTCGGATTTCTACACGGATTTTGTGACTCGCGTTGACTCGTACGCGATACACGCGGACTAACTACTGCGTCTAGATTCTCCTAAACGATCTAATATTTATTGCTAGGGTAATGATTTGTACGCCAAGAAATGTATAGCGGGTGACGGAGAGACTCTGCGGTCTGTTCTCGCGCAGAGGAATAAGAAAAAGAGAGGGAGAGAGAGACAGAGAAAGAGGAAAGGAGAGAGCGCGAGATAGGATCAGTATACGAGGTTGTAAATATCTTAGGAGTATCTCGAACTACGATTTCCGGCTTCTTCTGAAAGAAAGGAGAGATCCTCCGAGCGCTTACCTGTTTCCAGGTATCTCCCCACGCTGTGAGGATGTTGAAAGTGGCAAGTTTAAGGACAGGCTGTGATTGACGTCTACTTTAAAGAAAAAAAAAAAAAGAAAGAAACAAAAGAAAAGCGCGACTACATACGGAATGTGAAAAATGCTAATTAATTGTCAATTGATTATGAGATGAAAACGGATTAATTAGCAATCAGATTGGGGGGCAGAGGGAGAAAGAGACGACGAGACCGTATTTCTTATATTGCCGCCGAGCTGTACGAGAGAATTGGGATAATTAAATATCATTATCGCATTGCACGTATCTGTCGGACTCGCATCTCCAGGACCTACATTATCCGTTGATCCTTCCTACTGTTGTCGGTGAATGTGCATCGTCCCGAAAAAGTTGGAATCTCGAAGTCTGAGAAGTGGAAAGATTTCTCGAAAGTCATAATTCTGAGGTATAAATAAAATTGCTTCAGGGAAAGACTTGCGATTGCAAGTTCAAAGAAGAGAACCAATAGATTTGGAAGAAGGTGGTGTGTCAAATATCCAGAAATTAAACGTGGAGATTAAAGGCACATTAGATAGAAAAAAAAAAGGAAAATTAATAGATAATAACGTATCTAGCTCTGTAAGACAACTATAATATATTTCGTATCAAACTGTATTTCAGGAGATTATTGCAGTATTCGGATCTTGGTATTATGACTTTTCAAGATGCTGTCACACTTCTTAGATTTCGATAAATTCTTTTACGGGACAGTATAATCGATTGATTGAGAGTTGCAATACTTTTCTTCGGTGAGTCTTGTGACGTATTCCATACCCAACGGAATCCGAAATGTATTTCTCGTAAATAACTAAAGAAACAAAGTCTTCTACTGGATAAGCTGTACGTCACGAAACTATTAAAAAAAAATCTCGCAGCCTTTAATCAACGATTGTACACGTATCCACATACACACATACATACACATCCTATTATTCAGGTCTATTGTATACATCCCGAAAGGATACTCGTCATTTCTATTAGGTCTCGCAATTGTTACACTTTGTTATATGTAAGAATCGGTCCGCACGAATTTAAGTATGTTACGTATCTGTTTGTTATATTGATTTTATCGCTTTAGTCCGCTAAAACAGGCGAGATACGCTTTATATTTCAGGTCGAAACGCGAAAGATTCGACTGAGCTTTTCGATCATGGATATTTGACAAATAAATGAACGATGCGTGCACGAACTCTTAAAAAGTTTTATTGCAGAGTCGCGAGAGCCGAAACGGAAACGACAAAGAGAGTCACGGCGTGTTGTTCTAATTGACATTTAATTTTCCCGCAGTGCTGTTGTGAAACGTCGACGCGTTCCTCAGTATCAGCGTAGCGTTCTTCAGAATGTTATCGAAATTGCCCTTCGAGTCGTCGTCCTTTTGAAATTGTATCAGTATCACGAGATATGTCGTGACGGCGCCGGCAATCTGCGTGAAAATGAGCCTTAATCTTTAATTATAAGTCACTCGCCTCAAAAGCCTTACCGAGGTCACGAGGCCTCGATCCAGAGTGAAAAGCCCACACGCTGAGAACTCTAAGGGGCGGTGTAGAAGTTGAAGCGAAAAGATTTCCAACTGCGTCCTGCTCTCTTTATCGTGACTCGTGGACAGCAGTTGACTCACCAAAATCGCCGTCTTCTTTCCCTAGAAAGGTAGTCGCGCGTCTTTCGTGCATAATCTGTTGTTTTAGCAAATGAGTTATCGTTCATCGCCATTGGTTTGATCAGGAGGTTCCCTCGGAGACAAACGGCGAACACTCGAAGGAATTTCCTCTCTGATCAAGCCAACACTTATGTTTAAGTTGAGTCAGTTTATTTCTGTCCGATGTACCTCCATCGTAGCGGCATACGTGGGTTGCACGAAGATCAGCAGCCTCCAGATGTGAAAGATGCACCACATCGCCTGCACCACGAGGAACAGCGGCTGCCGCTTGCCGTCGGCCTCCATGATCAGAAAGTACGGTGTGATGATCAGGTGTATCAGGCAGGTGATCGTAACCACGAGTATGACCACGCCGTAAGCGGCGTTTATGTACGTCACTATGTCACACAAGGACGCGTGCACCGTCACCAATTGGGATATGTCTGTGGGACCTTTGCCATCTGGAGGGAGATTTACTAGACCTTGATTATCATTGATCTCGTGATTATAACGCTCCACTTTATATTTATATTTAATACAAACGTGAATCAATTTATTACGACTATGACTCGATTAAATATAACAATCCGGTTATATTTAATTCCATGTATGTGATGATGGTTTTATTGTATTGTATTTAATGTAATTATATGACTAATATACTTTCGTAACTTTTTCGTTGATAGCCGTTGAAAGAGAGAAAGAGAGATCTTGCAAGAAAAACGCAAAGCGTACCGTTCGCCACGGAGAAGTCGATGATCTTCGATTTCCGAAACATTCGAGCGTTTGCCAGATCCTGCCGGAGGTACGCAGCGAGTTGTCCTTGATCCCGAAAGTCACCGGCTAAAGAATCCGAGATGCATTAAAAATGTTGTCTCGAGCCGTTGACTCGACGATTAGAAAAGAAAGACACGATCAAACCGTGTATCATCGCAATGACGACGCAACGCGCACCTAATCCGAGATCCTTCCGGAATTGGTTTGTGATCATGCTGTTCTTGAGGATGTTTTCGAGGCTCTTGTTGAGTCTGGAGAACCTCTGGCCCACGTTGTGCGTGGCGACTGCGTATTGCACCTCCATCATGACAATGACTATGTACATGCAGTACAAGGGGAGGTAGTTGATCGGACCCTTGTCGTCCATCTTCTTGTCCAGCTTCACCTGGCTCCACGTGTAGATGTCGAGGCAGGAGATGAGGATGGAGTACGAGAGGCTGCTCAGCGTCAGCAGGATCGTGTACCGCCGGGTCTTCCTCGGCGAGACGATGCCCATCCTCTCGTCGCACTTGGCGAGCCCGTGGGTGGTGAAAGCGAACGGTGAATGCATCGTGCGGTCGGTCTCTCGAGGAATAGCGATGGGCTCAGAGTGCAAGCTCGAAAGACCGCCGCGCGAAGACATGCAAATTACCTCGAACACCAGCCGGAGAAACTCGAGGTGTCCGCATCGAATCGCTTCTTATGTGTGAAAACAGAGACTCGACCGCCCATCACTATTAGCCAATAATCGCGGCAACGATCATTTGAATGAGAAACTTACATCGATCAGTTTATCGATAATGACTTGCACGTACTTCCATTGCAGGATCGAACTGACGACGGAGGCCGCCGTGAGACCCATCACACCCAGCACGTCGCTGCAGGTGACGATCACCGCGTTTTGCGACTTCAGCCGGGTGCTGAACTCCCATCCATCCCTCAAGTCGCGCCAAAAGCCCCAGATCTCGGCTCCGATCAACAACGACAGCAGGCTTATGCTGCGCACATTCGGTTCAGCTTTATTCGGGGATCGCTTTCGATGTGAGGAGACTCGACCCGATCAATTTTACGGTAAGACGAGGGTGTCTACCATATTTTCCCGTTTACGATTAAACTATTAAATTTTTAAACGAGAGATTAGGTCTACCTGTTGGAATAGAAGATATCAAGCAACGATAAAACCTTTTCAAGATTACGTGGGGGGATTCCTTTTTAGACTCCACCTCCTCATGGAGGTCATCATTGTATAAGATAATCATATTTACAATTCCATCCCTTTTTTAATTTATTTCATAGTTCAGAGTGCAGTTATAAAGCAGTCATTGATTCGAGAGTGCAGACGATATGCAGACCCGCGAAGAAATCGGTCGCGGTTCCGCGGCGAGCGTTAATCCAGAATAATTTATGTCCGTGCAAGTTTGTGCTCGCGGCGTTTCTTTCGATCGCTCGTCATCTTCACCTGTAAATGCTGTCGATGGTGCTCAGTCGCCCTTGATATCTGCCGCTTGATGGCTGTCGGACGAATCTCATCGGAAATACACCGGACAGTTTGCTGAGATGATAGATCGGGAACACCGCTTGATATAGATCGCTGTTTACCGACCTGTTACCCGGCCCCTCGGATTTCACGTCGTGCTCGTCCACGTTCGAGGGCTTCTCTATACATGCAGATACGTAGCATCGTGTTATTCTCCGCTCGATCGATTCTGAATTGTTCTCGGGGTGAAAAGAATTAAAAACACAGCGGACCTACTCGCGGACTACGCTCGCGGTCGTGCTGAAATTCTGCTAGTCATGACATTGACTCTCGTCTTTCTCGCACCAATGACTGCGAGACAATCGATCTCTACCGTTCTGACCCTCTCGAAAACTTGGATAAACTTGTATCTCTGTGAGGACAATTAATTCCGCAAAGAGAGACAGTAACGTCCGCGTTATTGTGTCGCGAGAATCAAAATCATTCCAAAACTGGCTGGCAAAGTGAGACGTGTGTCGCCTTACTGTTCATCCTGTTGGTCCCTTCCCGCTTATCGAAATCATTCCAGCGGACGTGCGTTTTCCCGGGCATAAAGGCGGTCTCGATGTCATTCGCAGGCGCACTTGCGAAATAATCCGCGAGCTGCATCGGACAAGTCCCCTGTGAGATTACATAACGAGAATCAGTTCGAATCGCAACCTTCTGGAGCAACTGTTGAAACGTTCAAGCGCCTCGTCGCCGAGACGGAGAAAACAAGACGAATGTCGCGACGACCGACGACGCGAATTTCACCATCGCGCGCTCGCCGGCGCGGCGGCAGCGGCGGCTAAGGCAGGCGCGTCGCGGGAAACGAACTCACGCGAGGACTCCTCGAAGGAGGAGAGACCTCGTTCTTTCTTCGTGCGAAGCGAACTCTACGAGAATCACCGATCGCATCGTCGAGATTACGTGCGAAATTCGCGTTAACGTTGCAACGCCGCTAACATTACACATCGGAGCGAGAGTCGTAAAGCGGCCGGTCGTCGGTCGCGGGTGTACCTGGCTTTGCACCTGCATAGCCGTCCATTCATACTCGTCGGATCGTCGACGGATAATTATTATTGACGCTCGCTCTCGGCCCCGATGCTTATCCTTCGAAAACACATACTTATCTAGTCTACGCGAGTACGCTCGAACGCGCGGCCGTTGTTTTGTCAGAGACGCGCGTACGCGCGAGACCTTGACCTTGAGGCTTTCGCGAAGAAGGTTGTGGAAGGTTGTGGAAGGATCTCAGCATCGGTCTTCCTCGGCCGCGAGAAGACGAGAGAGAGAGAGAGAGAGAGAGAGAGAGAGAGAGAGAGAGAGAGAGAGAGAGAGAGAGAGAGAGAGAGAGAGAGAGGTTCAATGCAATCGTATCGTCTCAGATGTGCAACGTTAGGTCGAAAAGCGAAAGTTATTGTTGTCGTATGTACGCAAAAAGAAAATTGTTGAGATTTCTCCTCCAGAGAGTATCTACGTGCGCGCCTCTAACGAACGACTTGGCAGGTTGTTTGTCGAAAAGTTCTGCGAACGTTTCTAATTAGATACGTGCTCCACGACAAGATACGTGTACAGATTCGTGAAGAACAAAGCAGCAGAAATGAAATAACACGAGATGCGATGGACGCGCGGTATTGTCTAAAATTATCTCGCGCACATCTCTCTTGTCCACTTCATCCGCGGTGCTCCGCATCATATTGTTATATATACGGCAAATAACGTACGTGTTTACTCTTGCCGCAAACGCGCTTGTCGCATGCCCGTTTACGGTTACTTGCGATGAATCTTCGACTATTCGCTCATCATGCGGCGCCGCTAATGCAGCAGCGACGGCGTTGTGTCCTTACAGGATCACGTACTTGGAGCACGGACACACGTAACTGTAACTGTAACGATGCACTCACACAGCGCCCGTCCGGCGTGGCACACAATTTAAGTACATACTTTAGGTACGCAGCCGCAGTTAATAGCGTTATACTTGATCGATTCGATGAGTAATATCCAACTTTGGCGTCGATCGTGCGCCGCGATCTACATCCGCAATCGCGATCTATCGTAATCCACATCTACCGTTGATTGCGCCGGCAAACATAATTTTTATCACACGTAACACTTGTAACGACTCCCAACGCAATACGCTTCTCCAGCCCTCAGGCTGAATCCGAAATTGCAATCAGGATTTCCCTTTTCCGCAACGCCTTCGTTTGAGAATTCGTCTGAGAATTTGTCGTAAGATTGTTGTTGTTTGTCCATAAATGTGCAGCATAAATTGCAATTATGTCTTGAGATTCAAGTATATTCAAGTGTATTCAAGTGATTATCGTTACTAATATTAATTACGAATATTGATGTGAAGGTACGAATACCAAAATACGCATCTTTACGACGCAAAATTGAGTATATCATGCATAAGGATGTGACGTGACGCAAAGATATTAAGAATAATACTTGGATTCAGCGTAAACAATGCTGTCCTCCGACTTATCCAAAGCGAACGAAACTATTTTGTCAACCGAAGCGTTCGGCGTGTGGGCTTCAACAGATTCAGCAGGACGCGCGTAGGACTGAAACAGCCCCGACGGTGTAGTCGCAGTCGTCGTGGTCGTCGAGGAGAACCACGCGTGAAAAGAAAACGTCCGTGTAAACATTATAACTTCGATCACTCCTGTATTTCCCGCGCGCTCGATCGAGTGTCGAGATAAATGTTCGTAATTGTGCGGGGGTGTGCGCCGCGTGGATTGATATGCAAAGACTCTACTTTTATTCCTCGCTAGTCACAGCACGAAGATATAACATCGCTCCCCGCTCATGCATAAAATTTAAACTAATTCACCTGCGACAGTTGTATTCGTACGCGATATACGTACAACTGTAGAAAGTAATTTTTTTTCCACGGAAAACACGTGTGGACACGTGCATTTGTCTGACCATAAATATTTTCTATTTTCAAGCCAATGCAAAATTTCAAATACTTCGAGATCCTAATCATTTAAGTGATCTAGAGAACCTATTCATGTATTTATTTGGAACATTCATGTATTTATTCGTGTATTTATTTGGAACATTCATGTATTTATTCATGTATTTATTTGGAACATTCATGTATTTATTCATGTATTTATTTGGAACATTCATGTATTTATTCATGTATTTATTTGGAACATTCATGTATTTATTCATGTATTTATTTGGAACATTCATGTATTTATTCATGTATTTATTTGGAACAATGACATTGATTTATAACGATAATTACTTTGACAGTTATTTTGGCAGTGATACCGATCGAATTACAGGAGTATCGGGTATATGTGTGTCATAAAATGCCGCTATTAGCAATATAATGATAATATTGTAGCGATAGCGAAAGGTGAAACATAATTATCATGTGATAGCAGCTATCACATGATAATAGTGTAAGTGAGTTTTATAGGGGTGTTAAGTTTATATACAAGAACAAGAGAGAGAAAAATAGAGAAAATCAATATCATTACCTTAAAAAATAGACTGAATTTATTATTCTAGCAGTAAAATCTATTTCAAATATATTTATCTCAAGCCGATAAAAGAGCAAAAAGCGAGAGAATTTTACGAGCAATTTTGGGGCATAAAAAGCTGTGTTTAAAGGATAAAAGTACGATACATATACTCGATTGACCTAAATCCTGATATATCAATTCATAACTGTACGATACATATACTCGATTGACCTAAATCCTGATATATCTATTCATAACTGTATATAAATGTATGTATGTAAATAGAGATATTTATAATTATATAAATTAATATTCTTTAATCGGTATTTTCTGGTGCAAATAGCTGCGTTTATGATACCGTTGTTTATGCAGACATGAATATATGCGCATGTTTTCACCGTGATAGATAAACACACGTTATAAAACCTCGAGATCAAAGTGATCGTGGGAAATTGCTCTGTTTGTTATTGCTGGTGGAGACGGAAGAATAATATTCAGTGATATATTTAACGTCATGCGACATTATAACGTCGTTACGACGTTGTTGGTGTCACGGAAAGACACTCGTTTTACGACGTTACCAGTAGTTTGTTATTATTACTGTTAACAATTAATTATAATTATTTATCGCAATGGTTGTTATATTTACATATAATCGAAGCTTCGTTGAAATAATGTCAACGCCAATACAATCGGATATTATATATGGTAGTTTGACGGAGAAATTCATTTTTGATTAATCAATTATTATGTAAAGTTTATGTGTATTCACATGTGTATTTCTCTGTGTCAAGTTTGTAAACTTGAATAATTAATGCACGTGTTGGTAATGTCGCGTACGATGTTATCCGCGCGCTCATGATGATGCCAACGGCGCTAATTCAACTTAACCTAAACCTGTAGCCATGAACGGCTATCGTTCGATGTTCTGTGTGCATGTGTCATGTAATTATAATTTACAGAAGAATAGTGGAATTATTATAGAACAAACGCGCTACATCTCACACGTGGAAGGAAGGATGTGGATCTCGATACGAGGGACAGTCATGTAAATGAGAAATAGCCACGAATAAATTATAACCTCACAATGCGTATGTTCCACTATACATTTTGAATAAACTGACAGTGTTGTTTACTGTTAATTTTCTATTATTTAATAAAAACAATGGAACGCAATGAGGAAGACTGGTCTGTGGAGTGTTCTGATGATGAGAAATATGATGTGGATGCAAAAGTAAGATACGTCGGATTTTTTAAACATATCGATTATTACACTCGTAGTTGTAGGTTCAAAGTTTGAATTTTCTCACATTTCGTCGTCGATTAATGTATACATCTTCTCCATTTATACAGCGTGAATGGAACATAAAGGCTGAAGATATACTTACGTTAATCGAGGGCATGGATACTAACAACCGTGTCTTAGAACTTGAGTGGAAGTGTCCTGGTAGGCGAGGACCCTCCCCACTTCCTTCAAACAATCGACAACAGGAGCACGGATCTCAAGAATACAAGTAAGCGCTTTATAGAGCGCTTTATAATTTCTTTAAATCTGAAGTAAATTTATAGGCATGGTTTAATGAAGTTTCATACTGACAAACATAATGTTATAGGACCGAAGAAAAATCCGATTTCGATTTTATGGACGAGATATCACCAAGACTGCCCGTTCGCAGAGTAGGTGAAAGCACTCCAAAGGGTAGCGCTAAAAAGAAAACTGCTAGTTTCAATGGAGTACTGTCTACAATGTTGAGACATCGGAGACAAGAACAACAGGAAATCAATGCTAATCCGAAAAAAAGCGAATCTCCTGGGTTGAAGCCTCATCCGCCCACTTAGAAGTCATCGCTGTTTGATGGCCAAACGATTCGTTATATTGAAAAACTTTAAAAAAGGGTTACATAGCATGGCTGTATAGCACGAGATAATGCAAATATGTGGACTGTGTGAGAAGATTCTAGTTTATATATATTGTAAAAAGAGTACTAGTTTATATATACTGCTATAACACTTTTGTTAGAAATAACATCTATATTGGAGAATGCGATTTATTATACCTGTTAGAGGGTGTAGTCCTGCTCTATCCTCTATGAGGATATAAATAAACAACGGATGATACGGATATTATATCATTTATATCACATTAATACTTTCCGTATTAAATCTTTATATTGAAAATTGTTATGAATCTTAGTGATATGTTTCTACATAGATCTTTCTCTATATAAAAAAGTGAGGCATGTGTGCATTTTTCTTACAAAGTTGCAATTTTCTGCTTACGCTGTGCTGCCTGCATACAAAATATGTACAAATATATAGGTAAAATATTAAGAGAGAGAAACGTTTTTGTAGAATGAAAACAATCGGTATATATTTTATTACAGATTTAATTTGTACATTGGAAACAAGCATTGCGAACAGCGATTAAGTGTAGTAGTGGTCGGTTTAATTTTATCAGGCAGAAAATTAGATTTGTAAAATTATTACGTATATTATCTGTACTTTTATCTAGAATGATAGTTTGAAAAGTATGTTTTACTTTGTAAGAATCTTTATATTTGCAGAATCCGATGCGCAAGTGAGCTTGATTTGTACATTTATCCCTCCGTCGCTCAATATTTCATACTTAATTTTACTTACAGTACTACCAATATTCATCATCCATTGTAACATACTATTATTCTGCAACACAATATTATTCTGTGTACGTTGTAAGTGTATTTATTTGTAAAGTGCAATACATCAGTGCCCAACATTAGGTAATTTTTTCGGGAATAACTTTTCCATGAAATGCACGTAATATTATTTGTAACTAATTGTACTAATGTCGAGATGTTAAATGTCACATATTACAATTGCCATCAATTATGGAACCGCGCAGCGCACGTTTGCGTTGAGCATTTGAGGCACGGCCCACTCGGGGAAATCGCTGATCCCGAAGACGTAAACGCCCCACGTCGGAAATAGAATGACCTGAACTATCAGACTATAAATCGCGGGCGCGAAGCCTCCGGTTATTAACCACTTGGTCGGGATGTGCCCCTGGGTGGCTATGATCGCGTTCGGCGGTGTTCCGACCGGAAGGCGGAACGAGAACGAACACATGAGCGTGGCGGGCACCATCAGGTACATCGGATGCAATTTCATCACCACGCACTGAAAGGCAGAGTGAAGTGTCAAGTTGCCTGCGACTGAAATAACACGAAATGCTGCACATATGTATAGAAGAATAAAATTGTATCTACATGTATGTCTGTCTGTATGTGTGTATGTATGTATGTATGCGCGCGAGAAGACGTTGTTCTTTTGCGATGTTCCGCAGGGAGATCGACGCACAGTTCCTCGCACAGAAACCTAGAGTTTCTAACGCCACCAGCTACAAGCGTCACACATATGCGACAACAATACTTTTTCCCTTTACACCCAGAAGAAACCATCCCGTCGTTTGTAACTCGCGAGTGCAATTGATTTTCAGCTCACCATCTGAGCTATCACCGGCAAGGTGATATTCGCAATGCCCACATTCGAGGTGAACTCCGTTATGGTGCCGATGAGAAGACACACCAGGAAGAGGATCACGATGGGTGGCAGATGCTGCAACGGTAGCATAGACTCGCCGACCTTTTTCGCCAGGCAAGAATTGACGGTCCCCCTCGAGATCGCAAATCCACCGCCCAGCAGGAATATCAAGCCCCACGGCATTTTCGTCTCGATGATCTTCCACGTCATCAAGCCTTCCGAGGAGCTCTTTGGTCTCTTGGCGGCTGTGGATTTTACGACTTTCAACACCATCGACTGGCTGGCTCGCGAATTTGTATTACTGCACGTGTTCTTTCATTTTCTAAAAAGCACTTTTTCACTTTTCACTTTTTGAGAACTTTTGAGAAACTTTGGGAAAGCAAAGAAAGATACTCGTGATATTTTGCAAAGAGGAAGATGCATATGCGTTGTTTTCGAATTTTTCCAAAATGTGAAAGTTGAAACCTTGGAAGTATGTCGCGCGTCGTTATTCTTAATAATTTGTAGGAATTATCGAATTCCGAGGGTTGATAACAGGATAACGCGATTTCTTACGATCTCGGCTGAAACTGTGAATGAAGCTGGGGTCCTTGGGGATGAAGAACATCAGGATAGAGACGAATATCACCGGCACCGAGTCCTTGAGTTCTCTATACGTTTATTTTTGTACTTGGAATCAAACGTATCTCGATATCACGCCTTGGGGAATTATCATAAGAAGATACCAACACATCGGTGAGCAATTCCGCCCATCCTACGATGAATTCAGGCTTGCGGAATATCCAAAGTAACACGCACATGATGAACAAGACGGTCACTCCCGACTCGTGGAAGGATAACGGGCCCAGGTCCTTGTATTTCTCTTGTATAACCTGAGAGAATCGCGGACGATTAACGAAATTAACGTCCTTTTCTTGTTCTCAGATGGCGTTATAACAATCTTACTTGACGAGTGATGGCTTCACCCTCCGCCCCGATCGCCGCTAGCTGAGCGTCCTTACTGCGCGGCCTCAGATACCCCAGGTAAGCAATTCGCAGGTACAGCCACGTGAGGAAAGAATTGATGACCATCTGGGGAAAGGACGCGATCATCCAGTGTGTGAAGCTAATTGTCTCGGCGGTGGGGAATATGCTCTCGTAAATCCCTTTGAAAGTCAAATTCGTGCCGGTTCCCACCAACGTCCCCGTGCCGCCGAATGTGGAACAGTAAGCCGCTGCCAGCATGTACGCTCTCGTCACCCTCGTCGGTCTTATTTCGCTGGAGATGTTATTATCATTGAAGAGACCGTCCATCGCGATCGCGCGATGAATATTCAATTTACTCACCCCGGAACGTCCGGCCTCTCGGGGTCCGTTTCTGTCTGGAACACCGCGCTGTGTCCTGCCTGCACAAACGTACGTACGTAATAATTAAACACGGCGGTGCAGAAGAGAGGATCAACTCTGATACATATATCATTATTTGTACGTACGGCACATATACAGGGTGTCTTAAAAATACCCCCGGATAACTTTGCAGGATCAAGTTTTCCTCAAATGTCTCAAAAAATATTAGGCAAATAAAAAAATATTTCAGACAAAATTTGTTCGAATTAATTGGTAAAAAAAGATAGTGTAATAAAAAATAGGGATTCCCATTTAAAAAACGCAAGTTGACCTTCAAATGACCTTGAAGATCAAGGTCAAGATCAAATTTGAGGTCACCGTCAAGTCCGTTACTCGATTTCCTACAACTTTTGTACTTAAAGCTTTTCACGAAAACTTGATCCTGCAAAGTTATCCGGCGGGGTTGCGGTATTTTTAAGACACCCTGTATACGTGTGTGTAAATATATATTACAGATATATATATATATCCTAATATATATATCCTTTATATGTAAATATATTAATTTATATTATCTGCAATGAGTAATATGATTTAAATAGTAACTTTTAAATAATAAATAACTCTCGATGATATCGAAGTATATAATTATGCTCTTCAAGTATAGAGACATTTCGCAGCTGGGGCGAATTTTGCAAGGCAATTATGTTGAGATGAGAGAGAGAGAGAGAGAGAGAAGACGTTAGTCAATCGACTAATACTTGTTCCAGCTCTCGTAGAACGGCGAAAATAATGGGCACCATCATGGCAGTGGCCGCGGTGTTTGACACCCACATGGATATCAAGGTCGTCACCGCGCAGAGGCCACCGAGTAGCTTCGCGTGACTGAAGCCGACCATTTTGACGACCCCGAGGGCGATTCTCATGTGCAGATTGCAGTGCTCGATGGCGACAGCAAGGATCAAACCGCCGATAAACACCATTATGGTGTCGTTCATGTAACAAGTGCAGGTGTCTATCGTGTCGAGTATCCCGAGAGACGGGAAGAGCACTATGGGAATCAGGGATGTCACCGCCATAGGGAAGCACTCGCTCACCCAGTACCCTGCCATCAGCAACACCACGTAAGCACATCGGATTTCCTACGCAGTTTGGAAAGTTGAAAAATCGATCGATCGTCGCTGGCGAGTTTTAAACGTGGGACTTGAGAAATTGAAGGATCAACGGATGATGAGGGAAGAGAATACCAGGGAGTCGTAAATCACGATCAAGGGTATGGGAAAGATGGCCCAGCAGACAGCGAAGATAATCTTGCGGTAGGTCTTGACGAATCGCCAGGTCAGTCTCAGCTTGGTGTCCTCGGGCCTAATTGCAAAGTTCTTGAGCGTCCCGATTTCGTCAAGTCACACGATACACGTATAGCTCTCGAGGTTGGGTCTCCCGAAAAATTAACGACAAAGTAAATCAAACGAGGCTGTACATTGCATGCGCGCGCGCGCGCAGATTTAGAACAACAATTTTGTCATCCTGTGATGAAGCAAATTCTACGTATATAAAATTACGAGAGGTGAGACTCGAGAGTTCGGTCGGAAGTCGGAGATGAAACTTTCGTTTCGGGCTTACCCAGCTGCATCGGCCATATTGTTGCTCAGGGCTCGAACGCGCTTCTCGTGCGCGAGAAATAATTTGCGTTGAGAATAATTCGTTGACCGGCGGAACAGGTATCACGCGTCAACGTCAAATTCAATTCACGGCGATGTTGAAAGTTGACGCGAGACATAAGACGACTCGCTGTAGTTATCCCCTCCGCCGCGTGCGGCCGCATATCTCACGTTTAATTACTTCAGATTTGTTTGACAATCCGTCAGATTTTTCTCGTCGCAACCACCCACGCCAAGTCTCGGCGTCGCGCAATTCGAGACTGTTTTCCTACGGCGCTCTTCTCCATTTTTTCTAGCTACGCCCCTACTCAAGCTGTAGTCGTCAGCGTCGGGGTGATTCACCGGAGACTCCCGGCCGGGCAAATTACGAAGAATGAGAAACAACGGCGCAACAAAACGACACACCCTCACGGCCTGCTAGCTGGAAGGCGAAATTCGTATGACAAAGACCGGCGGTACTGATGGGCTGGGTTGGCAGGCTGAATGTAAAGCTGCTAGACGGAGGCGGATTTATCATGACCGTAAGTTACGACACGACTTGCTACCTTCTTCCATCGCATCAGCCAGAGAGCGGTCGTTATTACCGTTTATTCACTCGTTGTTTATCATCGACGACAGCAGAATGATGTGTGTTGTTCAACGTTTATTTATGTTACAATAATTATTCGATACATCTCGTTTAATTATGTTTAATTGTGTCGTTGCGACGCGATTACGACTGCAACGACGCGAGACGCGCGACAGATAATAGAATACTCCTCTCACGGTCGGTTATTGTCAATGACGTTGCGGCGCGACGAGATCGGATCATGACTTCCGCGCCCAGTCGGGGAATTCCCTGATGCCGTAGATGAAGACTCCCCAGGTAGGGAAGAAGATAACCTGCACGATCACGCTGTAGACCGCCGGGAAGCAGCCGGCTGCTATCAGCGCGCTAGTCGGTATGTGGCCGCTGATGCTGACGATCGCGTTC